TTATTTAAGCAAGTCTGTCTGCTTTGGACTTTTGTCTAAAGAACCTTCTAGACAAACAACCCACAATAAGAAGGTAAACATAAATTTAGATTCTTACAGAATACCAATGATTTTAATCTCATTATTAAATTAATTGGCAGAAAATTGTCTGCACAGCCTTTTAGATATAAATAATAACAGTTAATAAGATTTCAAAATGTTTAAAGTCAAAATTTCTACAATAAAAAATTAACAAACTATCGGCAAAATTGTAAATATGATTATACTATCATTAAGACTGATCAAGAATTCGCTGAAGCTGTTTTATATCCAATATAAGCATAAAAAAGTTCACATCACTTAAAAGATATCATTTAATGAAACATATATATATATATAGTTTATATGCCATATATATATATATATATATATATATATATATATATATGATGTATCAGCTTTAGTCGTAGCTTAAATAATCAGACGATAAGTTTTAAAAAACAGGATCCATTTATTATTATTCACGAGAAATAGCAGTTACAAAAATCAGATATCCGGAGTAAATAAAAAGAATTACTAATAACTTTTTGTATGAAGTTTACTGCATCGTGACATTTAAGAAAAAGCCACGATATTCCTTTAGCGAGTCCTTTTATAGCCTCTGGAAAGGTGGAGCTTCCAAGAAATGACGTCAGCCAATCCAGTTCGCTTAAAATATCTCGAGAACATTCTATAACTCTACGTTAGAAAAGGCGGGAAAAACAACTTGACTACGGGGCTGTGAATTTAATTCCACGTACTTTCAAATAAGAGAATGTCGCCATTAAAAATGAAAAAGACATACAGTGAGAATTTTAAGTGTATTCTTGACTATGGAATTTTATTATTACATATATATATATTTGTTGTATATATATATATATATATATATATATATATATACACAACAAAGCTATGTAACTGATCAAAAGTAATGACTGCATATAATTTGAAAAAAAAGGGGGGAGAAAAACAAGACAAACTATTAAAAAACATACTTCAAAAATATTAAAACATTATGTTTGAAAAAATGTAATGTTTTTATACATATTTTATCTTCCTTTGTATTTTGCTCTATAAAATATCAATTATTTTAATGTGTTTATACATTCTTCTTGCCTTTTCTAAAATTTTTTTAAGAGCAGACATTTAATAAAAATTAAATTCCATATAACCTCTGATTCCAAGTTACGTGGATTTCTGATCTACTACATAATCGAAATTGTATGTGTTCAAAAACAGATTATTTTATAATAATGTCTAGTAAAACTTTATTTTAATTTTACTAAATAACTTTTGCAGTAACATAACCTTGAGTGCAATAGTCAATTAAGATCTTGATAAAACATCAAATACTTGATCAAGATATGCATTACTGCAAGTTGACTTTAAAAAATGTTTAATAACTTTACCAGTTACAGCCTTTGTACACTATTTTCTTCCTGATCAGAGTTTCCACCTCAGTTACTTTGCTATGTAAAATGCATATATTAGTTCATAATGTCATTTAAGAACATAGGTTTAACAGTTTTTATAAAATTAGAATAAGAGGTAAAGTCCTTAAAATGCTTCATGGTTAATATCTATTTCTAAAAAAAGGTTTAAAAAATATGAGAAAAGTAGTGAAGTTATTCCACATAAAAGCTTTTTTTAAATAATTCTACAATCCTATAAATTAAAACTTTTCAAGTAGGATGGTACTATTTAAACAACTAGATAGGAAAACTCAACATTTTACAAAACATATTTTCACAACTTATGAGCATTAGTGTTGAACCCTATTAGCTTTAATGCTGTTAACCCTTTCCAGCAAGCTACCTTTTAAAGTTGGAATTTTGATTTAAAAAAAAGGGGGGGTAGGCAGTCTAATTAGGCCTACAGGAGTACACAAGTAAAATTTTGTGAAGATAGCTTTGCAGGCACACTAATTAAAAAGAGCTTCGAAAAGAGTGCTGAAATGAGCATTGCTGGGAAGCGCGTAAAAGAGTAAGAGATGCCTACAATTAAAAAAACACTATACACTGACTACCAATAAGCATTTAGACACCTATGCAAATGACGATATCTGCGCTCCTAAGGTACGCCACGGGCTCCGCTGGTATATATCGTGTAGGAAACAGCATCGGCTTTACTTGCATGCAAGATGCCTCGCAGTTCGAAGCTCTCTGATTTCGAGAAAGGTATAATTATCGGGTATCACAAATGTGGCTGATCCTTAAGGGACATATCTAGCGATCTGAAGTACCCAAAATCGACAGTGGCCTATGTGATTAAGAAGTGGAAGGTAAGCAGCGATTGTCGGAATGTGCCCCGAGTCGGCAAACCAACGAAACTGGGAGAGAGAGACCGACGAGTGCTGTCCAGAGAAATTCGGAAGAACCGCACCCAACCGATGGCCCTCATCCGCGAGGAGTTTCAACAGGCATCCGGGAGTATTGTTTCAATCAATACCATCCATAAGGAAGGACATCTGCTTGTTTTTCATGGTCGTGCTGCTGCCCATAAGCCTTTGATCACAAAGTCCAACCGCGCTGCTCGGTTAATGTGGTGCAAAGCACATCGAAATTGGACCGTAGATCAGTGGAAACGGTTTCTTTGGAGTGACGAAACAAGGTTCACCCTTTAACGTTCGGATGGCAGGGTCTGGGTCTGGCTTCTACCTGGAGAACATCTCTTGCCAGAATACAGTGTGCCAACAGTCAAGTTTGGCAGAGGTGGAATTATGGTTTGGGGGTGTTTCTCCTGGTATAGGCTGGGACCCTTGATCCCCATTCATGGTAAGCTCAACTTCGATGCCTACTGCATTATTCTGGATGACAATGTGCTTCCTACGTTGTGGCAGTTTTACGGGTTGAACCCATTACTTTCAGGACGACATTGCCAGTTGTCATGTTTCGACATTAACCAAGGCTGGGTATGATGCCAATGGAGTTCATCGAATGGACTGGCCTGCCCAGAGTCTAGACCTGAACCCTATCAAGAATCTCTGGGATGAGTTACATCGCCGAATTCAGGGGTGCACTACCAGTGCAAAATCGGTGAAGGAATTTCTATGTCTTCTCCAACTGAGTGGAAGAAAATACCACTCGCTGTCATACAAAGACTTGTGGAAAATATGCCCCCGGAGGGTCCACGCTGTAATTACCTCTCGTAGAAGCTCTACCAACTATTGATTTTGAATAAAGTGAGTTTTTCTTTTCTATCACAGGTGTCCAAATACTTATTGGTAGTCAGTGTATTCTGAATACTGTAACAGATTTAGCATTACCTAGGGTGTGCCACGGGGAGACCTGCTACCTACAACCCCTCTAAAAGGCTCTTTTTTGGTTATATGATGATTACATCTTATGAATGAGGGGGAAAAAAGTAACTTGGTTACATGATATTTACATTACATATTTACACTTAAGTCCATCTTTTTCACGGTGGTACTTTTCGAAGAAAGCCACACCACCTTTGAAAAAGCACAACCCAATATTGTATGTTTTGCACATGTATCAGGATCGGTATCAGATTCACTATCTGAAGCAATTTGTGTAGCACTTTCAGTGCTTCAGTAATGGTCAGCCCTCTCCAATCCATTTGGAAAATAATTAAAAATCCAAAAAAATAAACTATTATATCTAAATTAGAAATTATAAACTGTAAAATAAAATTAATTAAACGTGTACAACTCAAAACTACTAAACGTAGCGCTAGTGAAACTTTGAACGAAAGAGAAACAGAAAAAGAGTGGGAAAAAAAAAACAAAAAAAACAACCAGCTAACTGATAAAATTACAATTGACCTTCAGAAAATCACCCCAACAATTTGTTAGTTTATAATCAAACGCCCCCCCCCTCCAAAAAAAGGAGAGAGAGAGAGAAAAAAGAAAGAAAGAGAAAAACAGGAAATGAAACACAGATGTGGACCCACCTTTCTCTTATCAATGAACTGACCGATGACATGTGGAGAAACAAAGAATACAGTCTCTCAGTTGTCCAAGAATATCAGGTTCGACATTCGATTTTAGTTAAGATTTCAAAGTAAAAATTTAAAACTAATATAGAATAAGGAGATTAATATACAGCCAAAAAATAAATAAATAAAACAGAAAATTCTTTTCAAACAATTCCTTTTATACCCTAAAAAAAATTTGGAAGATTTCTTTTAAAAATGAGGGTCTTGAAAAACTAAACATGGCTAAAATATATGGACTGGTTTATGTTGAGCTGCCATCTACTATAAATAAAGAAGGTTCAGAGTAACCTATAGTAACCTCTAACTCCTTTTTCATCAATTTTTCTATGTGTACAGAAGGAAATTTTTAGGTGTGCCCAAACTGGGCATACCATGCAGCAAAGGGTTAAGGGCTAGATCTTTACTTGGGATGCAACTTTCTTCTTCAGTCCTAATTGACTGACAATACAGTTGACCTAACAATCATAAAACAATACTGCCCTTTTATCAGCTTATAAATATGATACTGCCCTATTATACACATGCTTCCATTTGAAAACAGCACTAATATTTTTACAACAAGCAAACTATACCAATTTGCAACATCATAATTTTTAGGTTAGCAAGCTAATACCAAAAGCTAGTATTGGCTTATGCACACTCCTATTATACTATATTTCCAAGAGAATTTGAAAATGAAATACCTGTTATGCCTTGACTGTGCCATATACATGCAAAATTATTCTGCTGTATGAAGCAATTTATGACTGCAGACTGATAAATAATCACATACCTGCAGCACACTTCAGAAAAACAATAAAATTTCACCTCAGTTTATTAAAAAAACTATTACTGTTATTTGAAATGACTTTTTAGTTCAAAAGCAGTCTAAAATTCTGGCAAATTTTTTCTGTTTTAAACGAATTATCATTTAATAAATAATACGCAAATTTTAAATGAATGGCAAAACTTCATGTCTAATTGTTTATTAAAACACTTATACAAGTTATCCTAAGTTTTAAAATAAGAGAAAAATAACTTACATTCTTTTTTAATCTTTCATAATCAATTCTTGGTTTGGGACTATTCGTTTCAGAGCTTGTTTTTTCAGACTGGTTTACCACAACAACTGGAGCTGGGATATCTAAAAATTATATATAAAATTAAAGAAACAAGAGTGAACATAACTAAAACACAATAAAAATACATGCAATTAAATTTTAATTCTCAAAAATAAATATTTTCTGAAGCATTAATATCGAAGTAAGTAAACATAGTTAACCTTTATCTTCGGATGGTTTAGACAGTTCCGCAGCATGAGCATGGATTAAAGCTTGAAGACTTGTTATAATAGCATTATCTCTCTGTTTAGTCATTTCATCCAAAGCATCATCACTGGTTTCTCCTTCTTCTTTGTTATCATCTTTATCTTTTTTGTTCTTTTCATCTTCATCTTGTAACTTTGCCAGCTTATTAGCTTTATATTCATCAAGTTTCTCCTTGGTTTTGGCATCAACTTTAACCTAATTAAAAACGCACTATTTATGTTTCTTGCAAGATATTTAACCAAAATAAAAAATAATTACATTAGTAATATTTATGTGGAAGTTCTTTAGACATATTAAAGAGCAGAATATCAGTTACAATAGTCTTTAAGAACACACCAAGTATATTAAATCAAGTTATGGAATACGCAAAACAAAATACAGTCAAAAGTCGTTAATCCGGACTCGTCGGGACTTCGGCGATTCCGGATTATAGATCATCAGTTTAAATCTCATAAGATGGCATGCAGAAATTCTAAAATTAAAAATATGAAACCGTAATTTTATGAAATAAAGAACAATTATGATCTAAAGGGTATCAAAATTTACAAAAAAAAAAAAAGCTTAATATTTATTTGTTTACTTAAATAAACATTTCTTTCAATGTAAGTTGTTTTAAGTTTTTGCTTCGTTTCATGTGATAATACTTTCTCTTTAATTCTATTAAACAGACATAATTTCTTGTTCAGTTACAAAGTTCCGCTGTTCAAGTCCTATAATTGCTGTGTCCGAGAACACCGACTAATTTGTCAATCGAAATTTTTTTCGTTTTCAATAACCTCTGTTACTTTCTTTGCTATCGGAAGCGAATTATAATGACGAGGAACTTGTTTTAAATCATATCAAAGACGGAGCATATCGAGATGAAATACTACATTTGGTAAGGAATTATAAGCCAAATAAAATAAAAACATCTGATCTTCATATAAGCCAAATAAAATAAAACATCTGCCCTGAAGATAAGGATAGTGCTGACAGATCAACTTCCAGTTCATTGCGCGCCCGCCGCGCGGCGTTCCCCCCCGCCGAGCAGCGTGAAATTGATAAACAGATTTCGGATTTCAAAACATACTTTCGCTTTAGATCCTTTACATATTAACAAATATATATCGGAAATTCTATTTGATATAATCGAAAGTTTAAGCTTACTTTTATAAAATTGCTCTTACAGTCTGCAAAAAATAATAAGCCGGATCCAATTCGAAAATTAAGGAACAACGCAATCATCAACATTAACTGAAATAGATAATTAGATAATTTTAGCTTATACGTCCATTATACATAAAACGCGCACGCGAAAACGTATTCGCACTTGCGCACAATCATATGCGCAGTCGTAAAAGGTCTTACGCGCACGCGTAAACGCCTATGCGCATGTGTCAACGCGCCGCATGCGCAGAAAGTTTTTAGTTTTGAGGTCCGGATTATAGATCATTCCGAATTATGGGTGTCCGAATTAACGACTTTTGACTGTATCAGCACTGTAGTACGGCGGAGGAGGGAATTACTGTATAAAACTTGAAAATCATCAACTTCTCATAGTGAAATAAAATTTTTTTTAAAAATTTAATGCATTCATTACATTTATACATCAAAAATTCATAAAATGAACCACTTAGAACCTTTCTTCTCAGAATTTTTTTTTAATTTTTCCCTTGCAAATTAATTGATTTAAAACTACAGAAAGTGCTTATGTATTAGTGCAATCACCTTAATGAACATCAGCAAATTCTCAGAATGCCCTAAATTCTGGGAATTTCTGGCAAGTGCATAACGATCAGTTTTAACAAGAAATGTCATTTACTGTAATTTCCGAAAGAAACGCTGCGGTGTTTACGTGTTCAAAACTTAAATTTTCAGTGCGTGCGGCATTTTTACCCATGCGCTGTTTAGGTGCACTAAAAATAAAATATTTCCCATGATGGTCATTGTACATAGTTTGAATGACACATAGAATCGTGCTGTTCCCACAAAAAAAGACCACTCAGTTCCTTTTTTACGAATGTTATTTTATTTACATTCTTTCCCTTGAACGGACCTACATGCCTTATTCACCCTAAATGGGATCTCAGAACAATAACATTCTTCCCCCTTTCAAATCAACATTCTCATCAGTTTGAATAGTCTCTCTCCTCTGCCAATGGATGAATCTTCTAGGACCCATCCTCTCCCCACCCCTGCCTTTTCTGCAATTTTTTTCAAAGGCGGAGACGACTCCACCTGCCTCACAATAATGAACTCTAACGTATTTCCCCTTCAGCATGAATCAATTTTACTTGGCATTCTGCCAGATACAGATCCTATCAGTTTGGGCACAAATACTTGTTGGATAGTTTTTTAAGTAAGAAGGGAGCGGACAATTTTTGAAAATGGCATCTAAACGGCCAGAAGCTATACTGCTGGTATTAAGCTTAATTTCACTGGTTAACAAATTGGAAATAAAGCAGCAACTCGAGAGTTTGAAGTGGATGAGAGATGTATTCAAAGTTGGAGAACTGAAAGAGAACTTCTTAAATATATGCCACAACAGAAACGAGCCAAAAGAAGTGGTACTGCAAAAACTGTATCTGCTTACGATGGGGCATGGAAGAACTTCATTTACATTTGTGTTAGCTTGTGCCGCAAATTGTGACAAGCTAAATTGATGATCATTTATAAAAGGAAAACTATTTCGAAAGGAGATTTTCCTAATGACGTAATAATTTGTGCAAACGAGAACGGCTGGATGTGCGAAACAATCATGCACGAGTGGCTACAAAACGTTTGGCAGTGTCGTAAGGGATCTTTTTTCCAATCAAAAGGGTTATTGATAATGGATTCATGCGTGCTCATTTACTTGAGTCAGTGATAACCAGATGTCAAAAATTGTCTACGACCGTAGCAATAATCCCTGGTGGTTTGACAAAAATCTTACAACCATTAGATTTTTCAGGTAATAAATCCTTCAAAGCTGAAGTCCGAAAGCGGCAGGAGTGTTGGATGAGTGAAGGATTGCATGCGTATACCAAAAGCGGTAAAATGCGTAGAACATCTTATGAAGAAGTTGCAAAATGGGTAGGAAATGTGTGGAAATCGGTAAAAACATCATGAATAATAGCACAGTTTAAAGAAGCTGAAATTATATCCTTAGATAAAGAGACTGTAAACCAATAGGATGAATGTGACGATCTGGAAGACTTAGATCAGGATTTACTAAATCTTTTTAATTCATATAGTGAAGAATCAGATTTTGATGGCTTCATATGATGTATAGTTTGCTGTAATTCCTTTTGTAAGTAAAATTTAATTTTGTCATCCAAATTTAATATTTGGTTGTTGCTATATTTTTTATAATATAGTCTGAGTATTACAAATATGGACTTCTTTAGTGGGTAAATATAAGTATATACATGAATGTAAATATATTTTAAACATTTCTTTTTTGAGTTATGGTTTCAATTCATACATTTTTCTTAACTGATATGTCATATATCAGGACTTGGTTGAGATTTTACATCTATATGGCCCATGACGATGTCATGCACAATTTAATCTATTGCGGCGTTTCTGTGTTATTTTAATTTTTTCCCCGCCATTTTTTCGGGTGCAGCATTTACGTTGATGCGGCCTTTCTTCCAGAAATTATGGTACTCTTGTATGCATTCTTTGATTGTGTTAATTTCAGTGGTTTTTATAGGCAGTGATACTGATTTTAAAACACTTCCTGTAATGTGAGAGACTACAGAGATTTTTGTAGAACAGTAATTTGTCAAGAATTGTATAAAAAAAGAATGCTTCGGGTACATACTTAAAATGATTACCACAATATTTATTTCATAACAAAAGATGGAAAACTTGCATGTAAGTAGATTTACTGATTTATTTTTGGAAAATTACTCAAAACATAAAATATGGACATATCATATTTCCCCTTCCAGCTCACCATCAGGTTGTGAACATTTTAATATTATTCGAGTAATTTTTTTCCTTTCCTCAGAGCATTCAGATAATGAGCTCCCCTAAATTTTAAAATGAATATGTCCTTGAAATGATTGTTTCTGTTTTATTGACATAGACAAATCCTTGCAAAAAACCTGTGAACATCAAACCAAATTTTTCCATTCTAAATGTCAAACTTTACGCCAAAACACAAGAGCTGACTCATTAGAGCGAAGCAAACATGAACTGACATTAGGTCTGTAATTTGCAGCTGAATGGCACATTTGCCTTTACTTATCATTTACGGATTATTCGAGACATAAGGGGTGGCAAACAAAATTACAAGAATGGGTGAAATTCAAATTACACGGAAGTAGAAATGAAGATGCCTGATTAGAAACTGTAATGTTAACATTACTACGTAGTCTTCCTGGAATGCAGTTTTTTTTAAATAAATAAAAGGAATAATACTGTGAGAGTTATTCATTTCTATGTTCTTACTGTAATCGTGTCCCTTTGGAAATAAAATTATTTGCATAAATTTCCCCTCTCCTTTCTGAATGATAAAAGGGTTCCTAAACACGTTTTAGTTAAAAAAAATAAGCACCTATAGGCACTTTTCAAGCACATTTTAAGAAAAGAATAAGCACCTGTCTAATTACACTGTACACAAATGCATAACCTTAAAAGAAAAATTAGACTTGTAATTTAAAATATAAGAAATGAAGTATTTATTAAGAGAGAATAAGCCTTACCTCAACCATGGAAAAGAATTACATTTTTTTTTAAATTTTAAATAACAGTTCAATTTACAGAACTAGTTTACATTGAGAGGAAAAAAAAACTATGCAGAACTAAACTATATTACAAGATTTAATGTTGAAATTTCAGTTTAAAACAGAGAAAATAAATAATAAGCCATATTTTTTGTATTCACTAATAATAAATAAAATTGGCACCTAATAATAAATACAATTTATTTTTCCACTCTTATTAATATTTAAATAAACTAATAAAGAACTAAATAAAGGAAAAGAAAAAGGACTTACCAATCTGGAGTGTTTTTCATTCTAATTTTGAACAGACTGTTCAAATTCTGTTCAAGACTGCATTTTAACGCAGTCTTGACGTTTAATGCAGTTCGTAACGTTCTTTGCGTTTTAACGCAGTTCATAACGTTCTTTGCGTTTTAACGCAGTCTTTTTAAGACTGTTCAAGACTGAGTTTTAACGTAGTTTCCGGAATAGAATTATTCTTCGCTCGGATTGGTAGACCGCAGAACTTTTAGTCCTATTCAACACAGATTGGAAAGTGACAAAAAAAAGTTTGTTGCTTGTTTTGCAGCGAATAGCAACAGTTTTAATATTCGAGATTTCGCGGAGAAGGGGGAGAACCTTTCAACCTCCGTACTTACTTTCCCTTTAGTTAAGGCATTAAGAATATTATTCCTTAGAAAGCTAAAAGCCATTACGAATATTATTCCTTAGAAAGCTAATCTGTGTTAAAACACACCTATTTCCAGAAGTTTATTTATATTTCAGCAGTTACTGCAACAATATTATTATAAATATTCATACGTATGCTTATAATATAAGTATAACGATCATAATAAACGCGAATATGAACTGACCACGCAGAACGAGAATGCAAATTATTAAAATCTTGATAGAAATTCAAACGTGTGTAGTATTTGTTGGGCGGAAAAGAATATCGAATGTACCGGAATTTTCTAGAGCTTCCGCAGTTCATTGACCAATAGAATGACGAGCACGTGTCTGTACTCTAGCGCAAACAAAGATTACGTTAATGCAGAGAAAAGGGGGAAAAGCTATTTCGGGGAGTATGATTCACCATCTGATGTTCCATACAAGGAAGAAAGGCTGTTTGTTTAGTTTTAGCTTTGGTATGGGGGAAAAATGTGCATTCATTAAAAAAAGGGGGGCTTTAAAGAAAAAGTAAGCACATATAAAGGACTTTATATTTTATTTTCAAATATAAGGACTTACAAGTAATTGTAAGGACAGCTACGAACCCTGTCTCTTCCTATTGCAACAGTATCACAAAATGTAAATGTTTTTGAATAGGCACGATTAGAGTGCCAAGTAAATTGTGGCTACAAATGTCAATTGAAATAAAGTTGAATATTTTATCTTACTCAGCTGCCAAGATTCCTCTTCAATATGAATTTATATTCTACATTATCAACACTGATATGTCTTTTTGATCACAATGGCCACCTGCTGCTCTCTTCTTATTGAAAATCTATTAAAAACGTAAACATTTTGAAATTGGCACAAGTAGTTTGCCAAGTTGCTTGTGGCAACAATATGTTTACTTAAATTAAAAATGAAGGTTTTAAACTGCCTCAGTTGCCAGTTTGTTGTTCATTACGGACTCAACATGTTCTACGTCATCAGTACTTCTAAATTTGCATTCATGACATAAGTTTGTTGCTTTCATTACAGTGAGTATTCCTTTTTTCATTACACGCATATGTATAATAAACTATTTTTTATCCCCAAATTTTATGCCTTCAATCTTTTTGGTCTGTAAATAATCACCAAACTGGACTACGGTGGTTGCACTAATAAATAAATACCAACTCAAAATGATTTCTGGTCTTTTTTTCTTTGACATGGCAAGACGAATAGTGAAAATAACATTGTTTTCAGCATTTCAATTTAGCACATAGTATATATTCACTAATCCTTTGTTCATTTAAATATACATATATAAAGCACATAATTAATATATTATAATGGCAACAATTCACTCAACTACACAGTTAAAAATGCCAAAAATTATTTAACTGCTTTAATCTACTCACAAACTTACCACAAGTTTCTTTTCTCCAAGTTCATAATCATGAAGTAATCTCATAGCCCTCAGAGCTGATTCAGGATCACCGTACTCACAAAACCCAAAAGCTGAAATAAACACCTACACGTTATTTCTCCATTACAACAATCAGATAAATTATATGACAACTATAGCTCCTTATAATATCATATCTGCCAACCTTGAAATCTTAAACACCAGTATTTTCCACATTGCACGGCGATATAATTTCAAAAGAACTCCAAACTGACTTAAATTTATAATGCTTAGTTCAGGTTAGTGAACCATCTGTAACTCAATTCGAATGTAAAATCTATTAACAACGTTTAATTTAATATTTTAAATTTTATATTTTTCGGCTCATTACATTTTTTAATTTTCTTACACTTTTATACCAAGAAAATCCCAAATACTGAAAGAAATTTCTATTCCTAAAAGTACTTTTTAAATACTTCAAAGTAAAATTAATACTTAATGTACACTGCACACACACATAAAAAGGGGACAGTTCTTATGTCCCGTTCTATTGGGCCGATTGACGAAATTCAACTTGCATTTTTCATCTCTTGAAAGCACTACGGTATGTATTAGATTTATATATAGCATGGTCCTAATAAAGGTATTTTGACACAAAATCGGACTTCTTCTAAAATGATGTGCCAATTTTTTTCCATATTTCGGTTGTATGACTAAAATTATGCCAAAACTACGGAGTAGTTTTTAAAAAATTAGCTCCTTATTGTTGAGTTTGGTATATATTCATTAATCTCTCTTTTTTTTATTAAACTTTTTTTAATACTTCCTTTACATTTCACAATTTAGGTTCATTCCAAATAAAATTCACAGATTTTTTATTTATTTTTAAATAACTTTTATTAAATTTTTCAAAAACACTTTTGAATTATAATCTATAAAATTTTTACCATCATCTTAAAGTAACCATATTTCTAAGCATATATGCGAAAAAATAGTTTTTTTTATTCAAAATTTCCAAAGATATACGTGAATTTTTATAATGGCGCATTTTGAAATTTGGCATAGTTGTGGAGAGCATTAAAATATCCAATGTGGTTTAAACACTTTGATAAAATTATTTGAAATTACGAACGATGTCACTTTTTTTCGCTCATGCACAATGTAAAAAGACAGGAACGAGGTGCCTTTTTTCCTGCTCCGGCATAATAAAAGTGAATGGAATATAGGTTGCCATACCTTAAAAAGTTCACCAAGTGAATTATTTTTGTCGTAAACTGAAAAAATTGCACCAAGATAAATTTCTGAATTCTCCGTCAATTTCACACCAAATTTTACAAAATTTAATACCTAGGCATAATCTGAGTTGTAGGATTAAAATATGGAAAAAAACTGGCATGTTACTTCAGATAAAGTCTGATTTTATGTCAAAATACTTATGTTAGAACAATGCTATATATAAATCTAATATATATACTCAATCATGCCTTTGAGACATAAAAACGCTATTTGAATTTTGTCAATCAGCCCAGTAGAACAGGAGATACAGAACTGTCCCCCCCTTTTTTTGAACAGTGTACATAATAATTGTGTGGCTACACATAGAACTATACCATATACTGACGTAAATATTAATTGATTACATTGCTCAAATATTCATATAAAAATCTAAAAGTGCACACAGTAGATTAAGACAACTCAGATCAAATGAAATTTAATAAGATCTCAATACAATATAAGAAAAAATACAATTCAGATAAAATTTATTAACAAAAATTATTCTGGAAATCATCAGAAGAGGAAAGAATAGAATTTGCCTAATTAAGTTTAAAGAATTCAATAAATTTCATTTATTTTGGGGAAACATGTTCCTTAAAAAGGCTAAAAAATAAGAAATTGGGACATGTGATGAAAAACTGGGAGATTTGGCAGCTATGTAATATAGAAGCTTGGTAGAAATAAAATATCTAAGAAGAATATTGTTAAATTCGTATCCATTAAAACAAGGTCTTACCTTATTGTGTCTTAATTAAGGTCTTACCTTGTAATTTTCCATTCGCTCCTTGGACTCTCTTCCAGTTTAGTACTATTCCACATCTCTAGAAATTAATTAAAAAAATTCAAAACAGGGTACTTAGGGCATGATTAAATACAAATCAACATAGTATAGACATGTCTATTGTGTTAAAATTTTAGAGGAAAACAATCCGCAGTTCACACATCTTAAATCTTCCATAAACAAGTTCTCAATTCATATTTTAAAAGTAAACACCTACACCAATTAACATCACTTAGACCTTTTGGACAGTTCAGTTTCAAAAGCTTCTGGATTATAAATGCAAGGCTATTAAAATATGGTATAAATTTAAAGAATACTGAATAAAACTGCATTAATCTCAACTTGGCAGCCTCCAAAGTAACTTTATGCGACCCATAAGGTCATTTCAATTATGCATTTGCTGCAAAAATTTTGAGATTTTAGTTATTTGAAATTCGAATAACAGACTACCTATAACTGGAGCTAATTAATTTACAATGAGATATAAATCTTTACCATTATTTTTCTCAGGTTTTGCCCATTTAGGAAAATTTTCTCCAAAAACTTGCATTCCTTGTTAATAACTTGTTTATTTTCAGTTTAAATTAAAGCAAGTACCAAACTTGAGATTTCAGACAGAGAATAAATTTGATTTTTTTTCCTTTCTGATATTACTATTTATTATTTATGTAAAGTTATATATATATTTAAGGAACGGAATTTTAAATTTGTTTAAAATATTTTTCATTTTGTTAATAAAAGTTTTCCTTTACTGGTCATGAATGAGCTCAGCTTGCATTCCAGTTGTGCACCGCAGTGGGTGCAAATGAACAGGCTCGCACTGCAAATTTACAAGTGATAGATATCGCTCCCACTTTGAAAGATAGAATTGCTTAATCTTGCAGCCACCAAAGTTTCTTTTTCCATTTAACCCCTTAAAGGGCATCAGTATATAAAATATACTGGTTATTTGTCAATTTTTTAACCGTTTAAAAAGTGCTAATTTTCTACACCAAAAGCTATAATCGTCGTCAGTTTCTAGTGTTTCCTTTCGATTCTAAACGGCAGCACCACCCTATGAATGCTCAATATTTTGCAGTTATGAAATTAATATACCTCATTCCACGGTCTCATGTTTGAAGATTCATAAACTGTATTGGGGGGAAAGAAAAAATTCAAAATCTGCAAATATATGACGTACAAATGCTGAATCTCATATATTTACCTCATTTCAGTCAGAAGTGATAATTAATAGAAGATTATTCATACGATTTTGAAACCAGTAGTTAATATATACCAGCGCCTACACTGAGGGTAACCTAAATAGATGGCAGCACCAGTCTTCTCCTTCTCTACTATATGAGATGACAGAATTTCTTTATATTATAACAGTTTACGATGAAATAATTTTTTATGATTAATTTATAATATTTGTTTAGGATTCAATATTATGTTCATGAAGGGGTGGGGAGTTTTCTGACTCTGCGCTAGGACTGAATGCAAGCATATTAGTTTCTTTTTATTCTCTGTTTACTCCACTCGAGTTTCATTCGTTTCTGTTTAGCTAAAATTTTAATTTTAGCACTTCACCCTTTCCCAAGAGAAAGACTCCTTGATTTCAAAATTGTCATCTGGGGTCAAAACTTTACACAATTACAGGGGTTAAATTTGACATGTTAGCACCCTCCAAAGACACCTGTTGCTTTGTGTTTTCCAAAATCCTAGAATGCAGCGAAAATGAAAAGAGGTGATTGACAACGAATTTGTCATTCCGGGGTCACGCCTTCTTTCCTTTGTGTGATAAAATCAACAAAGGGAAAGCTCACTTAAAAATACGAGAAATGGAAATGTACTTAAGGTCCATCTGAGTGTAATCACAAAAACTGCTGATTTGAAAGCATGCTTTTATAGTTTAGGGTATCACACTTTGTTAATTTCAGATGACAGAATAGGTAATGCAAGGGAAATTTGCCCTCTGGATTAAGATACAAATAGGTTGTTTTCAAAATAAATTTTCAGTTGGTGAAAGGAGGGAAAATATTTCTAAGGCCTGTTTTTAGATGCAAACCAAAATTTATCCGAAAGTTGAAAAGGGTCCCTTAAAGCCATATCATATGGCATTTGTTTTACACGAACAACTGTTTCAGATAATTCTTCTGCCTGGTTTACTGTTGAAAGAAAAACATGCGACTTTTTGCTTCCTTTCGTAAAAAAAAAAAAAAAAAATGCAAGTTGTTCGTTTCCATCCGATCAGCTATCAGCATGTTCAGCTTGTTTGTAATGGGGAACCAGTTTCCCCTGTGTTAACCTCAAAGTGATCTATGGTAATTGGCTGTTGTGACAAAGCAGAAAAATTGTTCCAAACAGTTGTTCTTCCGAAACAAACCGACGTGTGATAGCAGTCTAAGAGGCCAAAGGGGTTTAAAATCAAAATAAGAGCTCTAAGGTGTATCGAATAATAAAATTGTTTAACAGTGTTTCTTCCTGAACAAAAAATATATTACAACCTATATTTACAAAAAATAAAAAAAAGGGGCCTTATGGTCCTCGATAATCTAAAGTGTGTGTGGGGGGGAGGATTCTTGGTTACATAGCATAAAGCAGGTTGTTTTTTTAAATATTATTTAAAGCATAAAATATAACTCCAAAAATGCAACATATTTTCTCAGCTGTGTCTTAGTGTTTCATTTTTCAATTTTTTTTTTTTTTTTTTTTTTTTGGCCGTAAAATACATCGCCTTGTAATATTATACTAGTTCAGTTATGGCATATGATTCACGATTTATGCAGTGTCAGTGTTCATTAATTTTTTTAATAAAATAATAATATTGAATTTAAATCAAGTTTAAAAGCTTTTTACCCATATTTTACATAAGTATGTTCAGCTGGGTTGCATCATTAAAGTGCATAAACACATCAATTTTATTTTTAAAACTTTAAATTTCTAGCAAAATTTTAATTTTTTTGTATTCAGACTTACATAACTATATTCAAGCACCCATCTCTACAGACGCACATTAAAAGTACGCAAAATTAACTTAACACTTTCAGGACCGGCATCCCATATACACATTCCCTAAGAACGTCTCTTACAGCCGGGCGTCCCACCCACGCATCACTAGAGCTCTCATTCAGAGGACGGGTGATATGTATATGCATTTCAAAAGCTGGTACTTTTTTGGTGAAGGCCATTAGATGGCATCCTATGTCCATTACTTTTGAAATTAATACTGTTTTAGGTTCCGTTAGATTTTTTGGTGAAGGCCATTAGATGGCATCCTATGTCCATTACTTTTGAAATTAACACTGTTTTAGGTTCCACTAGATTTTTAGGTTCCATTAGATTTTTTGGTGAAGGCCATTAGATGGCATCCTATGTCCATTACTTTTGAAATTATCACTGTTTAATGTTCCTGACCTTGAGTATGATATATTCTGCCTTTCTTTGATATTTTGCTCATCAACTGTTGCGAGGAGGGAGTAAAAGCGTAAACAGAGGTGGGCTCTTTAAATCGCGGCTTGCTAATATAAACATTTGTGTGTTCTGATTTATATCCAATTCCTTTTTCTATTTTTTCCCCTCTACTATATTTTAGGGTTACTATGCGGAGTTCTGTTATGTTTTGCATTGCCTTCAGATATATTTTGGTTTCTTCTCTTTTTATTCCGGAAAGCTTCACCTCCAGTCTATTACGGCAGGAAAGCGCTATTTATCAGATGAAGAATACCCTCGCATGGTTAATGAACTATTTAACACAGATGAGAGTGATGATTCATTTTCTAAGAGAAAGTCATACTTCTTCTAATAGTTTGAAAATGATACTTCTCTGTGCTTCGAGATTTACCACACTCAGTCTTCATTTTAAATTTTGTTACTTACTGTAAATAGTCTTTATTGTGTTGTTTTACTAATTTTTAACTTTACTGGCGAATTTTTATCAATTAAAACTTTAAAATAATTTGAATAGTGCTTCCGGAAATTATTTTACAAGATAAGCAATTTTAATTTGAAACTTTTTTTTTTCCTGATTTTTTTTTATTTAGGCTTAGCGATGCAAAACTCTCGTCTTGTACGGCGACTGCCTTCAACTTCCTTCCGTCCTTCATGAGCCTCTTAAACAAAGGTGTGCCGTCGCGAAAGGGTTTGAAAAACTAAAAATAACAATTGGCAGCTACCTGGAAAACCATTTCTGTATAAAGTATATACCAGCTCTTAAAATTCAGAATTTGACTCTAGATTTTAAAACCTCAATTTTATGTCCTTAGGGTCTATAAGTTATAATTCATGCAAAATTTTACCACAATTTCAATTACTTTATGTACAGCCCCTCAAAGGGTTAAAGGGGGAAGGGGCTGCCAACTGTTCTTAGTTGTCATTTGGCTTGCATGAAATGAGTTTCAGAAAACTGTAATGCTGCATTTTGCCCAAAAATTTTTACGATACTATATTGCCAGATATTAATTTTCCATGAACATATTTCAAAATATATATATGTAATGATTTCAAAATGCGTAGATGAAGGCACTGGAACTTTAACAGTTTTCAATATCGCGTAGATGACCGAGAAGACCATTGTGGTTTGAAGCTGGCAGAGTGGAAAGCATGATGACACAATTCAGCACAACATATCTTGAAAAATCACAATCTTTATTTTTTCCCCGCATATCAAATCATCCTTTTTCAGACAAGATGTTTCCTAATTATATTTGAATACATAAATTGCATTTTGAATTAGAACGTCATCTTAAGTAAGCAAGCAGCAGCAGCATGGTTTAAAACCATCTTGCCAGCAGGAGAGCTATGTGGAAAAAGGGCAAAGTTATAGTACTTTCAGAGGAAGAAGGGTGGGAGTAGGAAAAGTTCCAGTTCTGAGTTTTGGTTTACAATTAATTTGATTGGATACGAGGTATCTGCATTAAAACATTACGTAGGATAGAAAAATCTGGAACCTGTGAGAAGAGATGAATTTAGGGGCAGATTACCAAATTTAGAGTGTTAATTTTGAGGTCGCCATTTATTTTTTTGAAACAGCTATCATATTTTGTTATATATTACATATATATAAAAATATATTAACATATGTCCAATCCACTGAAAAATAAGATTTGGATAATTTTTTTGGCATACAACTGGTGCATAAAAAAGATCTAATTAACACAGGAATTTTCTCAAAAACTGTATTTTCACACAGTGAAAGAAGTGCTTTCTTTTAATGTCAGGCTAAAACTGAGACTTTTTTCTTCATTCAACATTATCTACACAGTTGACAAGCATGATCCATCCAAAATCAAATTATTCTAAATAAGTTTATAAAATTCAGTTGTGCAAAACTTTTTAAACATAAAAGAAAATTTTACCTGCAATATTTGCCGAACTAAGGTGTCTGGAGCTCTATCAGTAATATTACCTACAAATACAGTTACCGGTGGGCCTTTTGGTAACTCTGGTTGCTCTACATGATTCTAAGGAAAATATAATATTCATTTTTACTCTCAACATATTTACATAATTTGTACATTTCTCTTACATATATAACTTAACATAAAAAAATTATAAATATGATTACAAACTAAAATATTTAACAGGCAAATATTTTTTTTTTTTTAAGTGAATTTTAGAATGGTTTCACAGAACAAACAATGGAAGGATTTGCAATTACATCATAAATTATGTTATGTAAGAATTCAGCAAGAAATTCTGTAACTTCAACTCATTGGTTTTTCACATAATTTATCTACCAATGTAAACAAACAATACACAATACTAAATAAGAATTTAATTTCTGTGTACCTCATATTTTCTGTATGTGTTTTGAGTATTTATCTTTTTCACAGTTCTTTGTTGAGGCATTGGAATTGGAGCTGGCATTGGCATTGCAACTGGTGCCATCATCTAAAAGAAAAACCATACATTAAATCAGAGTTTCTTAAACTGTGGGAGGGAGACGCCAAATATTTTAGTAGTTTTGTTACTTCTTTTAACTTATAATAATTTTACAATTACCAAATATTTTTACACAATGCATCTTAAAATAGATAAAGACGAGAAAATACAGACAAAGAAAAAACGAAAACATTTCAATGCATTCTTTATATAATACAAACGCTCATTTTACTTGCTTTGCATGTGACGGTGTCATTTTTTCTGTTACTTATTTAAATTTGTCACATTGTTCGTCTTGAAATTAAAGTTAATGACCTAAAACTGCAATAGTATTTTACAGTAAAAGAAAAAAAACGGACAGTTTCACTCACGCATGTGTTGGATTTGAGCAATTCTTATGGGGTCCCACAAAATTTTCGTATATATTACGGGGCCCTCAGGTCACGAAAAAAATCTCAGTGATAAAAAGGGGTCACAAATGAAAAAAGTTAAAGAAGCCCTGCATTAAATTATTCATTTAGATTATTTACAATGTGAAAAAGAATCACCAGATTAAAAATATCACACTTTAACTATACACACAGTTTATAAAAAATTTAAAGATATCCAGAAAATGATAACTGATGCAGGAACAGTTCTAAATTATACATCAAGTGATTTAATGGGCAGTTTAAAGAAACACCTGAAGTTTATGAAACATGAGCACACAGACACCTCGGGATAACCAAAACAGGTATTGACAAAATACTTTGTTACGAAATCACGGACATATTTTAAACATAAAGTTTTAGCATGCTGCAGAAAACAAAAGTTAATCCTGGGATGTTCAAACTTGAAAAGAAATTTTGCATATAAACTTTAAAAAAAAAAAAAAAAAAAACCAATCTGAAATGTTTCAGATTTTAAATTACGTAAAAAGGGGCGTTTTTTAACATTTTGTGTGTTACCTTTCTTTATTAAATATCATGTTCCTCACACTTAAATTATAAGATCCAGTGCAACAGCAATATCGCAAAATAGTTTTAAAACGAGCATATCTTCAGAATTTCCGATACAGAGACTCATGCGCTGGAGATAAAAATGTTTTTTCTGCACAACGTTGCCATTGCTCGCTTTGAAATCCTTGAGTTTGTTAATCAAAAATTCGTCAAAGTTTTAAAAAATAGGAAATCGATCATAAAACAAATTTCAAATTTGGTCTTCCACATGCTCATATTCGTTGGAGGATTACGTTATTCAAAATTCGATGACTCTATGTACCGTTGTTTTATCACAATACGAGAAATATACATACATTTATGCAGATTTTTCATTATTTAATTTCTTCAAATATAGTGCAGGACTCTAACATTTTGTGGCAACAGTTTGAAAACTGAACCGACATTTATGAGTCCGACGCAAAATGCCAAAACGAAACTAATAGTTCTTCGGGATTCAAATCCCTTTGGACTAAAAAAAAAAAAAAAAGTTATAAAATATTTGTAAAATGCTTCCTTTTTCTTTTTTCTGAATGAGTATACATGATTTTAAAATAGTTTAGATACATCCTTATCAAATTTGGAAGATTATTGCAAAATTGTTAACTTTATACTAAGAATGTTCTTTCTATTATCTACTTACTTTTTGTGTACAATGTACTGAATGGAATACTCTGAAAGACACTTTTTAAAATTTGTTTGCTATATATTATTTAATAAAACATTACAACATAGCTTCAAACTCTACCAGTTTTTTGTCACATCTCCGAACAGATCACCCCGAATCTCCCAGTTTTTAGCTTATATTAATCAAATATTTTAAGCAGTTAACCAAATTTATGGAATTAATAAATAAACTTCTGCTAATTTTGCTCCAACTCCTAATGTTTTTTAGCATAATTTTTCGTCTTAAATGTATTTGATCTGAATTGTCTCAATCTACTGAAGGCATCTAAAAAACTTAATATGAATCAATACATACCTGCATGTAATTTTGTTTTATCTCAATATAGGGTAACATTGCCAAGTGTATCTACACAACTGCATATACATGAATTATTAACTTTAGTTTTATTGAACTGATTTTGATAAATTAAAGCTTCCATGTTCAGGATTTTCTCAATATAAAAGTGTAAGAAAATTAGTAAATGAGATTAGCCAAAGAAAATAAAATTTACAATATCTAATTAATGTGCCGTACATCATAATTAAGTTACAAATAATTCATCAACCTGAATCATGCATTACAAAGCAAATTAATGCCAATCTGGAGTTCATTTGGATGTGATGCCATTGCAATGCATGAAAACCACACAGGAAGTTTCCCGTTTGGAGAGCAAGAACCTCCCGTCATTTTCATATTGCATGGTTGGCAGTTATATTATAACATTTTCTTTACTAAACACAACTAAGATTTCACTTGACAATTTATTATAGTATTATCTACTTATGATATAGGAGTAGCATTTTTCATATATACTGATAAGCAATTACCATAAAAATAACTGTTTGTTACTGTTTAGGGCAGGTTAATAGAGTATGGCAAATCAGTAAAAGGACTATGATAAGGGAAGCTTTTCTTGGTGGGTTATCTTACTTTTTAAAACAAAAATGTAATTTTTCAAAATAAAGAGAAATTTTAGTTTATTACTCAAAATTATAAGTTAAAAACAGCAATAATTCTATTTATTTCTATTTAAATAAAATTGAAAATTGATGTTTTTGAAAAGATGAAAGTTGGCAATTTTACTTAAACACAAATGATTCGTATTTTTTCAGTAAAGACAGGTATACATTTTGCTTCACGTGCATTTCTTACAGAATCAGGTGAACCAACTGTCACTGAAGAAGGCTCCTAGGCTTGTTTAGCCTCATCCTGAGTATAGCATAATAACAGTTTGTACACAGCATTTCATAGTGAAACCAGATGAAGGAAATGACAGCTGGCAATAAACTCAGTCCAAAAGTTCATAACAGTAGTATAGAGAAAATAAAATAGACTTGATATGGTGATTGCAAGGAAATAACAGCTGGCAATAAACTCAGTCTAAAAGTTCATAACAATAGTATAGAGAAAATAAAGTAGACTTGATGTGGTGATTGCAAGGCGAGGTGAATCTTGACAGAAGGGCTCATGAATGATAAAGCAATTATAATCAGAACTTAAGCAGGTAGTCAGATGAGTGCAGCAGTGATGCAGAATGGTCGATGAATGGTGCTATATCAGAGCAGATGACACAGCTTCTTCATGTGGAGTATGTGTCAGCTTGACATGTGATTCTAAGGAGATTCAGGATTGGAGGAGAGATAGGTCTAACACAAAAGCAATTTAGACAATAGGGAATAGAGGCAGGGGACTCTTTAGAACCACACTTTTAAAAGCGATTAGCTAAAAATAAAATGGGGAAGGAAAAAAAGTAATATAACGAAAAATAACAGCAAAAAATTACCATCCAGTATATCCCTACGAAACAAATATAAACATAATCTCTTCCAAGAAATTCATTCTGAAGTCACTAGACAATATATATACAGTGAACCTCAGTACATGTCATTAATCTGTGCTGGATACTTGGCTGCATATCAAATAATATTTTCAAATACGAAATAAAGGAAAAAGAATCTATACTTATAAAAAAATCCTACTGTTATTATAACACTTTTTAATACAAATACAAACGCAGTGGGTATATGTATACCATACATGAATGGAGCACTGCACGTGATATTGTACAAAAAGCAATTTTTCAGCATGTTTCTGATCTTTGGTAATTCCTTTCACCTTCTTTTCAACATCAGCCAATTTAATGGTATCTTTGTTTTTCACAACCCTAAATACTGTCATTCTCAGCATACAATATGCAATAGCTAAGTTCCACATGTGAATGTCATTTTCATATTTTTCCATAATATTTTTTCCACCTCCCTGGTAATGGGTTCTTAACTATTTTTTCACTGCTCCTACTCATCAACTTTCTTAAAACTCATTGTTAATGACTTTACAGAAAATTTATACATAAGAACACACAAAAATCATACGAAAATTTAGAGTTGCAGTGTAGACTGTTTACTGAATAGTAATGCCAGGCATAATGACGCTCATAGTCAGGTATCATGGCCTCAAGAAAAGGTGAGCACCTGTAGTGTGTCGCACATGCACATTTCCATACAAATGGAACACCAAATAAAAATTTTCACATCCACCCAGAATGTATACCAAGTTGGACACCTTTCTAAGGTTACTTACACTGACAAGCCAAAACATAATGATCATCCACGCATTTTTTAATGAACTTGTCCGGATGACATGAAAAACACTTGATTAAGTGCGAATGGTGTTTAACTGCTGCTGGAGAAGGTCAGGAATCCTTCTTTCACTTTTCTTTTTGTTAGTGATGGGAAACACAGCTAATCTAAGCAAATTCGATAGAGAGCACATTGTACTCGTGAAGACTAGCAAAGAGTTTCTCAGAAACAGCATGACTGGTAGGTTGTTCATAATCTGCCATTGTTAATATTGGTGCAAAATGGATAAATAACAGTGAAACCAGCAGAAGCCATGATATTGGACATCAACAAAAGAAAAATGACGTCATAAGACTGTCCTGCTTGGTTAAGAAACTGGTGCTAGATACTGGTTCAGTTCACAGCCCAATAAAATGCAGGTCAAAAAGCAAGTGTTTCAGAACACACAGTTCAAGCAGTCACAGTTGGATATTAGACTCCACAGCGGATATGCCATACGTGTGTGCCTCTGTTGATCAAGCATTATTATCAACTATGGCTACAGTGAGCATGGGAACACTGACACTAGACCATGGATCAGAGGAAGAGAGTTGCCTGGTCAGATGAATAACAATTTCTCATTCATCACGTCAATGGTTGTGTCAGGGTATGCCATCTTTTAGAAGAACAGTTGCTCTCCCATGTACAGTAGGTCATACACTGGCTGGTGGTCACTGTATTATGCTTTGCGGGATATTCTCACGGGCGGTTCTGAGACCTTTAGATGTAGTAGAACAGAACATGAAAACTGCGGACTTATCTGCTCATCAGCTGCACCCTTACATGGTGTCTGGCTTCCCTGATGGAAATGGAATTCTCCAGCAGGACAACACCCCATGTCACAAGGCTCAAATTGTGTTGGAGTGGTTTGCCGTGACCACCTAACTCACCAAATATAGATACAACATATCTGGGAGTCATGCAGCAGGCAGCTCGGAGTTCAAACACCACCATGTAGAAATATTTCGACATTGCATGACTTTAGCTCAGACATATAACATGTCACCAGTCATCTACCAAGAACTTGTAGCATCCATGCAAAGGCGAGTTGCAACTATTTTGCTGGCCAAATGTCATGTAACGCTTTATTGAGGAGGTAGTTATAACATTTTGGATCTTCAGTGTACACCGAAGTACCACTGTGTACGTGTATATATATATATATATATATATATTATATATATATATATATATCACAAACTTTATAATGAAATTTTGAATTTTTATCAATATTGAGACAAATAATTTATACTCACAGGTGCTGGCATCATACCGACGGTCATGGGAATCATACCACCTGAAAAAATTCAGACAATAATTAATATTACCATACCTACCAACCTCTAAAGATAAAAATTCAGAAGAACATGAAGAATTAATATCATGCTTTGATATTAAAAAAAAATAACAATTTATACAAATAGAAAAAAGAAAATTGTACTTACATTAGTAAATCTCAATTAAGTAGTAACTAAAAAATTTATTAGGAAACATAAAACAAGAACTTAATGTTACACAAAAAAATTATTGCAATGAATCTAGAGTGCATTTTTTTACTTTAGCCAAAAGTTCTTTGGAAAATTTCCTGTCAAAACAATTAGTTTCCTCATAACATTTAGCAATTAAAATGTTTTCTAGAGTTTTTGGTGAAATTAAAGAACGAAACATAGTTTTGTTTTCATTTCATTAGAAACATCACAGAAATATGTGACAACGATGGGGTAAAGCTTCCAATCGCTGTCGTTGATGCCATCGATTGACATCGAAAATGCTGAATTCTGGAGTCATAAAAAATGGATTACGATCGTAAAATCGTAGACAAACGCGTTTGGCAGGTATGTATTACTGAAATTACATAATGTTTTTTTTTATAAGTAAACATAAAGAATAAATAAACTTTCAAATTGCTGCATTTTAAAAGGCAACTGATTAAAACTTTTTTTTACAATGTAAATAAAAATCTGCATAAATAAAAAATGATTATACATAATACGAGTATGATGGAATATGGCTTAACTGCATATTGACGGAAAGTAAGTTTCTAAATCCTTTATTATGCCATGTTTTCAATTTTTCGATAAGAAACAATACAATCATTCAAAAATGTTCCCTTCTCTAAAAATCATTAAAATTAAAAACAATCTCATCTGGCCAGCACGACTTCCCACTAATTCCATACAGCTGCTAAAATAGCAACAAGCTTTAAGAAAATCAGTTAAAATGATCCCAGCATACTTGCCAACCTATGACACTCAAAAAATCAGGAGATTTTTTTAAGAAATCAGGAATTTTTCTCAATGTTAAAAAGACTTTTAAAATGATAAAGTTTTTAATAATGAATTAACTTTAAATAGTTACTAATTCTTAAATACAAGCAACACAAAAATACCTTACACATAAAACCAGTTTTATTACTTGATCATTTAAAAAACAAAACAACAAAAAAGACATTTTAATCAGTTTTTGTACAAACGTTACGAACAGTGGCAGAATTTGCTTTCATTGTGAAAGAAACTTCATAATTTTGTTCACAGCAATTGCCACACAGGACTGCTTTCACTAATAAAAGTTTTTCTAATGTGTCATCACTAATATCACATCTAAATTTAGTCCTCATTTTCGCAACAACACTGAATATCCTCTCACACTCTGCATTACTATGTGGAACTGTTATAAGATGGCCAACATAATTCTAGACAGTTTACTATATTTTTTAAAATTCCATCAGCACCTTTCAGTTTTCCAATTAAACTCCACTGAGTGTCAATCTTAGTTGATTTTATAACTTCATCCAAGTTTTCTAATTGTAAACTGCAAAATTGCGACTGCAAGATATCAGTGGCAACATCAATATCATCATCTTTCATGATGAAGTAACACAGGAAGTCTGTTCAAAAAGTACCTTATATCAGAAAAAGAGGCACTTGCTAGAGCAGAAACATCAGCAACTTTAGCATGCAAAATCACTTCATTGTTGACTGGAAATTTATGTAGTACGTAATCACATACTCAACAGAAGTAACTTCTAACATGAAGATAAAACTTATTTTTGTCTTCTTCTGAAAGTTCTTCTACTACTTTTGTAGTTGCAGCTCCTATTACCAAATCTTCATCTTTTCTTCTGATTTTCTTTTTCACCATAAATCGCATCACATATAGAATTACAAGAAAAAGGCTCCAGTAAAAAGGCAGAGAACAGACATTCTGCATTAATAACTTTTTGGTCCTTTGTTTTCGAAGAAAAATTTAATTTTTTGTTTTTTCAAAACAACTTATGTTGTCCTTGTGTTTTTGTGTATGCACATGACTGAGAACATCCACCCTTCCACAATGCGAAATTCAAAAATCGCAACGACAGATGGTACACATTGCAAATTTACTACATTTCCTTGAGGAAATAATGGAAGGAATGTCAACTGTGTACGATTTTTGAAACGAACACGAGTATTTCACCTTTTTCGCAGACATAACACAAGATGATAATTTCTAAAACTATTTCCCGAAGGCATGTGTAATCACACAACTCAGGACAAGATGAACGTGTAATCATACAACTCAGGACAAGATAAACTAAATAACTAAAGAACATCCAAATAACAGCCTTGAGCTTGCTTGCTTTGTACTCATTGGCTAATATATGCCAGATGACACGCAGTGGAGCTCGATGCCAATTGGAGAACTGGAGAACGACGTTTCTGGATACGTACGCTCTCTCACTCACAAAGCAGAAATTCTCATCTGATTTGCAATGTTTTGTTTTATATAATCTAGAGAAAATTCAATTGCTTTCAGACGTCCAAAATTACTTTTTTTGTTCATATAACGAAATATTAAGCCATGTTCCATAAAAATCGTGAGAAAATTTTAAGAATAAGAAAAAGTCGGGAGAAATATATTGTAAATCGGGTTGGCGGGAGAGCGGTAGAAAATCGGGAGAGTTGGCAACTCTGTCCCAGTAAAAAAAATACAACCAGTCACGCCCAGTTTATCACTTGTAATTCAAATGTAATTTGTTCAGAAATTTTATGTTTCAATGTTAATTACTTACATTACTCATTTCTCCCATATAACTATACGTGCTCATGTAAAAATATGTTTTCATGTTTTGATTTGAAAATACTCCTCAATCATAGTGTATTCTCTTCATAAATTATTATGAAAACCAGTGACTTAACCCTTTCCGGCACGCTACTCTTTAAAGTTGGAATTTTACCAAAGAAAATTTGTAGGCAGTCTATTTAGGACTAGGAGAGTATGCAGGTATAATTTTACAAAGATTGCCCAAACCACTTCCATTTTCTGGGTGTGTCCGAAGCAAACACACTAAGCCGCGCGAGCTGCTATAGGTGAGCATTGCTGTGAAGGACATATTATAGTAAAATACTTTGCATATGAATTAAAAACAGTAGAATCTGATCTCTGTAGCAGATTTAGCACAACCCTGGGTGCACCACGGAGAGGCCTGCTACTCTACACCCCCCCCCAAAAAAAAAACCCGGGAGAAAAAAAAAAACCCTCATTGCTTTGGCAATGCTGAAGCCTCTCCGAGCCATTTACACAATTTTAAATTTTATAAGAAAAATAATTAAAATACTATAATATTTACAATTAATTATTAACTAGAAAAAATAATTATTAAACATATATACAAATAAAAATCTACAGAAATTGAAACTAATGCACCATGAAAACAAGAGAAAAAATAAGTGAAAACAAAGCACCGGGGTCTTCAAAACCAAAAACAGAAAAGAATAAAAACAAATATAAATAAATCTGCGCTCTCATCCTCCTCCGTGTTTGAAGCACGACACCAGATTCTGTGACTCACACGCACGTGACAAGGAGTACCAGTACAGTATTTTCAGTCCCAACACACCATACACTGAAGGCTTCACTGTACGTAATATTTCAAAGATAAAAATTAAAAGTAATACAGAATACGCAGATTAGCATACAAACAACAAAATTATATAAAGATTGTTTTCACTGATATTCTTTATATTTCAGTGTCTTTAAAAACAGCATATATCTCAACGTTAATGATTTGCTTGTGTGGTGCTGCCATTTATTATTCATAAAAAAAGATTAAAAGTAACCATTAGTCTAGTTTTCATGACATTTATCGATTATTTCAGTGTCTAAAGAGGGAATATTTTTTATATGTTCAAAACGAACACACTGTGCCGGAAAGGATTAACAATCACAAAATTTTTAAAAGCAGCATTATCTGCAAAATGTTCAATTAAGTGTTGCCATACATTTCCTTTTTATTTATGCTGTATCATTTCTTTAAAAATAACTCACAGTGGTAACATTTTGCGGCAGCATTTTATTTGAAAAGTGATTGGAAACAAAAGTGAAATGAGCAGAAAATTAAGGATTGAGGTTAATAAATTTAAATCCTTCATAATGAGAGCTCATCTTCATACTGAACTCGTTCTCTTTTCATTTGATATAATTCCAATAACATAATAAAAAGCTATAAATGTGATATGCTATTTTCAAATTTACAAATGCAAAGTTTTGGATTATCTCACAACATAATTTTTTTTTAATCTTTCAGAGCTTCAGGATTATCGATTTTAGCAAGTCTAATATGTTGTTCCTACTGATACAAAAGTCTTAAATACTAAATTTGAAAACTTTTAGATAATGTTTTTAACATATAGTTTTGCATTAAAAACTGTTATGGACTTCCAAGTCTGTCTAGTTTTACTCGAAATTTTTGGATGTTTCAAATAAGAGTTACTGTGGATGAAAAAACTTTTAACACATATATGTACAGACATCATTGTAAAAATAGTAAAAATGTGTTGGTGGGACCCTAACTCGTACTTATTCATGGAAAACTCAGTACTGAATTTTTGGACCAAAAACAATACCTTCCTTACTTATGCATATATGTTGGCAAGAGACAAAAATCACTAACTCTCCATATTACCAACTGTAAGCCAAAATAATATGAAGAATTCTACCCTATCAAAGATAATCTTCTGTCCTCAGAACATTCTAAATACAGCTTTTGGTAAAATTAGAGCCTATCAAAAAAAGTAAAAATTGATGAAAGCCTTTTTCCATAGCTCAAAACAAAGCGAGTCAAATGCTTCTGCAGCAAAGCTATTCGATAGATTGTGCAGTAAGAACTGCAGTTGAAGTATGGTATGGAATTCCACAGAAACAACTGGCGCAATTTCCGCCAACTTTCATGGTCAACAGGATAGCATGCAAATAACAAAATTCCTAAACAATGATAAATTACTAACCCATAGGAGGAACTGCATATGGTGGTGGCATCATTGGTGGAACTGGCGGCATACCAGGCATTGGCAAAGGTGGTCCTGGAGGGAACGACATCTTCGGCACAGCTTTAATGAATTTCAGTGGAAAAAACTAAAAACAAAACATTCAACTAAATACACCCAATATAATAAAATATCAGATCATCCTGGAAAACTAAATTCATATTGAATTATTCTAACAATTAAAAAATTAAAACAGAAAGATGCATGTAAAAACATTTACTTGTTTATCCACTCAACATACAAAATTAACATCACATTAAAGAAAAAATGAGCACATTAGTTAAAAATTCATAACAGATAGTAAAAAATATCATTAAGAAGCCTTTCCTAAGTTACATATTGGTTAATAATACTTTGTATATTATGTGCAGCCTATTAAATTTGGTGTGAATGAAAACATATATCAGAAAGAATCAGTAAAAATCAACAACAGCATATATTCAACACATAAAAAAAACAACTAAGAAATAACAGTAGTAATAAGCTCAGAAAAGTAGTAGGAAAGCTGAAAGGAAAAGACAAATTTTGACATATCAGAGAAATTGCTTAATTTTTGCATGGAAAAAATGCTTAAAAAGGGAGGAAGATAAATTACCTCAAAATTTTAACCTCTAGCTAAAATTAGGAAAAAAGTCAAAAAGGATTATTAAATACAAGTATTAAAAAGGAAATGAAAATTAGTGAAAGAAAAATAAATTAATATTAACATACCCTATTACTACTACTTAGCCAATGTGCAAAATGACTACAGATAAAAATTCTTCCTGTCAACAGAGTACAAGCAAATAAACATTTATGTAAAATGAAATGCAGGCATGAGCTAATCTGAATTCTGAAAAATAACATGCTTCAAACTGGAAAGCAATAAACACATAATAATACTAAAGCACACAACAGTAGTAAAGATCTAAAATTTAGCATAATCTTCTAATTACATTTGCTGTATTGTGATTTCTTCAGAATAACATACTATTAGCACTAAATTTCCAAGTGACTTATCACAGTGTCTATATTTAAGCTCTGTCTGATCTCTAGAAGCAAGCAAAGAAATATTAGTGTGACAATGGAACATTCTTAACGAGCTAATAATAAAATTTTGTGAGTAATCTTTAAACATGCATTTAACATTTTCTCAATCTTTTACATCATGTTTCTAAATTTAATCCACAGATTAATATTCTTTTACTACAGACTTTGCACATTTACCAATATTGACAATTTAAAAAAAATAACAATTTTGTTTCGGATGAACTAGCAATTACTATTTCATGTAATATACAGATGTTAATACTTAAAAAAGACCAGACCTTTCTCAAAGACCTACCATGTTTAAATTAGACTTCATGAAATTATCGATAAGCATTTGGATATCGCAATCCTACTCAAGAGTGGTGCAAGACATTTTCAAAAACTGGGATTTTATAAAAAAATAATACTGATCGCTACCACATATTTGGTAATATTCTATCTATTTGGCTATAGAAAATTAAACAGTGGCATAACAGAAAAGCTCACTGAAATATTACAAATTATTCTGTACCCATGCAGATTTTCCCTTTTTTTTTTAAATAAAAATATTTATTTTTTAAAGGGACATGAAAATAATTTAATGTACAAATTTAATTTCTTGCGATTTAAAAGCAAAATTCAAAACTAAATATAACCTAATATAGCTAGTTCAAAACTAAATATATTAGTAAATATAAAAATTCCCCACAATTTTATTTTTAATGAAAACAAAAGGTACTATTCCGTTTTGAGGACCGTAAAAAATTGCAGCGAAAATGTATGCGCAAAAGCGCCAAATCTAGCAAATGCGGCCAATGAACAGCGTGCCAAATCTAGCGTACGCACAGATTTCAGATTGCATAAGTTTATATAGTTTCTATTTTTTTAAGACGCCACTGAAATACTAGTTAATTTTTAAATTTTTTTGATACCCTAGGATTAACAATTTGGAAATTGCCATCACGAAAAGTGTGCATAAAATTTGGTTCAGAATCAACCACTGCTTGGGCGTTTTAAAGAATGCACATACTCGGTATCCATGTACACATCGACATATTTTCACTTAAAAAAGTAAAAGAAAACGACAAAAGTTCAATTGTTTTTACCCTTGTAAAAAGGGGAAACAAATAAGTGGGCGATTCTGCACTTTCCGAGAATTTTTTCAAGAAAAGGCATCATTCATTATAGAAATTACGTTGAACAACCAACGACATGAAAACTATGCTTAGCGATTAACTCGGTAGCGAAATAGAATGGCAGGATCTATTCAGTTAGGTTAGCAAATTTTTATATAAATTATAACAACTATTTACTCTTATGCTTCCATTCAGTCATGTTTAGCCTTTTTTATAAATTATAATAATAAAAAAAGTATTATATGAAATTAAACCTTTCATCTAAATTAAAACTCAATCTTAGATAGTTATTTACTATTATACTTCCTTTCTTGCGTTTGGGTTGCCGCATTATTTTGGCAGCACTGGCATCAAATAGTTTGGCGATTTTTTACGGCCCTCAAAACCGAATAGTACCAAACAAAACTTAATTTACTAACTTTGGTCATCTGATTATAACCCATCCAAGAAATGATGAAAATATATTAACAAATGATTACTTAAAACTAATTTTCTTTCTTTGATCTTTAATGAAAATATTTCCATTTAGAATTGGATAAATGAATACTTTGATGAAAAATAATAAAAGTTGTCTTACTGAAATGAAATTTTTTTATTAACTTTTATATAGAAAAAAGAAATTTGTATCATTCCGTGTTTTAAATTAAGTACATATGAAAGGAAATAAATGATAAACATAATAAATAATTCATTTGAGTGATAGTGAAAGTACTTAAATCACATTATACCATATCTACTCTTAAACACATTTACCTTCTGCCAGAGTATAATAATGAATTTTTCAGCATTTAAATTCACCTCTGATGTACATCAGCTCTTTAGAAATTCCCTTTCTAAGATCTGTTAATACTTCTGTTTATACATGATATCAAAAATTGCCTTTGGTGCCAAATGATAATAATTTCTCACCAAATGTCTACTACTCTGTGTCAAGCATACCTTCAATGTTCATTGAAATGAAAGCAAATGTTCAGTTTCTTCCAGAAAGTTCAATATATTAAGCATTTATTTTCTTTACAATCTCTGAGGTTCACAAAATAATGAAATAAAAAGAGTAACAACATCCCCCCCCCAAAAAAAAATCATAAAATATCATTAGACCATTTCAACGTTCATATAATGAAATTATACACAACACTGCAGAAAACATTGTAGGAATGCAATGTTTGAAAGTGCAAACAATCGGTAAAAAATTGAACAGAAAAAGCCACAGAATTCAATAACAATTGCTGCAGACAATTAATACATCTCTCAAATTTTGCCCAACTTCTTTTGGCAGATAAACTATTACAGAGTGGAATAATTATATTCCAGAGATTTGCATTAACAAAATAAAGAAACCAACGACAAATTAATCTGCTGCCACCCAAAGTTCCTAATAATTTAAGTTTTAGCATAACCACCTTAAAAGAAGATGTCAAATTTTCAGAAAGCACTGAACTTTGTCTACTATGCTACAAAAATTCTTCAGGCACCTACGCATAATTCTATTTTAATAAACAACATAGCTACTTTCATATTATTACGAATTCTGTACATAAATACATTATTTTACAGCAATTGTATGTGAAATTGCTGTATTGCGTTCGTATACCGTAACATGAAAATCTACATGAGCAAAACTTACAAGAAAAGTAAGAATACAGGGTAAGTCTATTTAACATTGAGTTAATGGCCCTCTCCCTAATTTGGTGAGATATTGCAAAGCTGGCAACGGTTTTGGCGACTCATTTTCCCTGCCAAACTTGGCATGCATTTGCCGACATTTTGGTCCAGTCCCTGAATCACTGTAATTGAACAAATACAATTGATCAATATATTAGCTGCAACTAGGGTTACCGCCTCTCCCGGAATAGAGTCCTGAAAATTAAAATCTCTCAGCATATAAAGTTTCTCAAAAATAACGACACAATGTGCACGCACGAAATGGTTGAGAGCATTGAAAATCACACGACTGAAGGAATCACGGAATTTTTAAGGAGCTATCAAGCAAATTGGAACTCAAAAATTCAATTCAAGATATTATCAATGCATAAACTTCAATTTTGTAATTCTATCCGATGAATAAAACAGATCCGTAAGTAAAATGCATTAATAATTAATATGATTTAATAAACATAATAATAAAACCAATTTGAGAATAAAATCAGCTTAGCAAAATTTATAAAGTTAGCATTAAATATTATGTATTTATAATTATTGGACATATCTTAAAGAAGATTAGTGACATTTAATTTACTTTTTACTAACAGCTAGCTTTACACTGATTTTTTTTCTTTTATGTCTTGTTTCAACACGTGTGCTCAATCTAGAGGTTTAGTAAATAGCAAGCACATTTTATGTCAAACAGCATAAGTTAGAAATGAGAAGTAAAATCATAATCGGCATAGGTTAGAAAGCATATTCTTAGGTTCTATTATAGGCTAGCATAGGTTAGAAATGAGAAGTAAAATCATAATCAACATGATCTGTAACAGAGATAGGCTGTTGCTTGCCTAGAGAGACCTGCTGATCAGAACAAACCTGAACGCCTGATGCTGGCACGGTTGGCAAGTTTTGAAAGTTACTTATGCTCTGTTATCTTCTGCAGTTAGCGTCGCAACTTCATTTACAGTTCCTGCAGTTGTAATTCAAGTAATATAAAGTTCCAATAAGCCACTAAAGCACCAGAGGTGATAAGTTGTTTTGTATTATTTTAAGTCCCACTAGCCGTAAGGAATAAGTTTTACGTTAATTTTTAGATTTTTAGGTTGTATTCTGTGACCGTAGTAACTATTAATGAAAAACAATAACTCATTTTAACATTCACAGATAACTCTAAAGATGAGCAATTAGTTACAAATAACTAAATTAAGCAATTAGATACCCATAGTTATTATATATTTACATGGTCACAGTTAAATGCTTTTTAAAAAATATATATATATTTGTTAAAAAAGCACTC